ATGAATCAACGCTATACTCTGCCATCTGTAGTTTAATATTAGATGCAACCATTATTTTATCAAGGACAACGGGTCATAACTTGAGGTGAGTTAACACCCATGATTTTAAAAATGTCTTGATCAACAAGAGTCTAAGTTACAGGGAACATTTTAATTTTTCAGTGGACCAATAAATGCATTTGACAGGAAAATATAAAAACTCTACCACAACAGCAATTAAAACAGCTTGCTGCATTATAAGTATCACTTCCCTGTCAAATTAGTGGTTCATACTTATTTGAATCTGAACATAACAGGCCAATTCTATCACACCTTGCTAGGCTCGAACTTCCATCCAATCAGATCATTCTAAATAAACATGATTCCCCACAAATACTAGAGGGCGCTCTGACCAACAAATTGCCATTATCTAAATAAAAAGAACTGATATACTGTACATTTGTAGTTTCATGTTCCTAGTTACTGTACTGAGTAATCAAAGTTAAAATGACTGAAAGTTTTGTTATATTTTTAACAAGTTTAGGCATTTCTTAGCCTATGCTAACCACTGTTTTCTCTCGTGCATGAACGTAATTGGGTCTATCCGACATGTAAACATATGAGATTAGATTAGTTCTTAGCCTGTACTTTGTGTAGCATGAACACTACTATAGTTAGATATGAAACTGACATTTACAGATGTACTCATATAACATGTCATTGTCAATGACATAGTCCCCATTCAGTTTTTAGTGACTGTCATTTATTTAACAATTTGACCATGTAGATAGATCGTTAAATGTATTCAGCATGTTGAAAATATAAAGTTACCCTGGTACTTCAAATGGCACCTTATCCAGGTTGTGTTCAAATGACAATTCTACATGTAGAAATAAGATCACACATGGACTATTTTAACTTACCGTAATAACAAAACATATGCGATGTTAATACTAGTAGCTTCGAGGTAAGTGGCCGTTCCTCAGCAAACAATTAAGCCAAGGTATTTTCGATGTCTGAATCACAAAATTCTCCGTTTTTACGCAATCTGGAAAGTTTGAATTACTAAATGAAGTACAGGAAGATGAAGCTGAAATATCCAAGAACACATACCAAATTATATCCCAATAGTGAATATTTGTGGTGTATTTTAAGTCTAACCATGGAGGTATAAACCTCCATAGTCTAACTGAACCGCAAGTGGAAATTGGTTTGTACTCTAAATATCTAAACATATTTTAGTATAAGGTAGTAACAACTTGTCAATAATCATGGTATTATTTGTGAGCATGAGATTGTTATGTAAATTTCGTTCATTGTAGTACCCGGTAATCAAAATCTATTAAAGCATGTGTGAGAAATGGTTAACGATACATTAAAATAATTCTAACATGGCCGCAATTTGGATGATTTGAATCAAATTACAAAACAAACTTGTATCAATAACCCGTCATGTGTCATATTTATATCAATTTTTAATAAAATTGGCTAAAACATTTTCCAAAACAGTTTATGCCATTTTGGGATGTTTTGGTGAGTCGATGGTCATCAAAATAAATAACATACCAGTATATGTTATTGTGTTTGAATCTACTTTCAACAAAACAGATCTGAGAAATGGTAAAGAACACAGGGAAATAAACTTTGAATCAAACCATGAAACAAAAACTTGCTATTGTACTTCACATTGACCCCCTACACTTGGTAAATCTTCAACAGACTCAATGGGGGGGGGGGGGTGTAAATTCACCAGCCAAAATTGATTCACAGCCCTGTCATGTAGTCCCAAACAGGAAATGACTTCTGTGGCAAAATGCACTATGTGTCAGCACTTGCAATTTGCACGTACAAAAAAAAAGTCAGGAGAGACAACAGTGACATTCAAAGTCCGGAACTGTCGCCTGGCACAAAAAAATATTTAAAAATTGATTCACAGTAGGTGATTGTTTAACCACCCTGGTTGACAAGTAGCACATAGTTCCAATATTCAAAGATTGAAAATGGTCATATCGTATTTATTCCAAAGATGTTTTCTGTGGCCAAATGCACTGTATTGTACAGTTAGCACATACAATTTGCAGAAGAGACAACAGTGACCTGTTTGGCACAAACATTCCATCAATATAGTTAATCTCACCTCACACCCATGCCAAACTTTGTAAATGTCACAAGGCCTTGTAATGTTTACTAGATGCTGAAGTGTGGCTCTTGACTTTGCTACAAGTACTATGTAATCCAATGACAACATGAAATACACGCACACTGCTCATCTTGCCATCAGTTGAAGGCTACATTTGCATAAACGTAAGATATTCAGTGCATATCATGTGACAATGAATATATTCTTTAATTGGTTACATCCGTCACAAGGACTTTGCATCCGTATAGCCATCCTAACCTATTCCATCATAGACTAGTGGTTATAGGTACCAATATGAATGTTATGGTTTGAACCCAGCTTAGCCAACTTATTCACCTCCAAAATTCCAAACCTTGACACCTTCCTGGCCAAGCTGTAAATTCAGAAATACCCAACATGAACAAGTGTGTGAATTACTGATCTACATGTACACAAACCAAAACTGGTTAATACTAATCTGCATATGATTAAAAACTATGGCCGACGACAGATATACAAAGTGTGGAGATGGCCAGGACAATGAGACAAATACTAGAGTGGTATAATACAAATGACAAAATGAAATTACACCAATGAAACCTCAGAGATGCACAGAGTTACCTCTCCTAGACTGGGAAATAAATAATACCAGGACTTTAGGTATAATTTTTGTGATCTATTCTTATACTGGCATTCAGATGTACATATTTAGGGACAGACCACTTTGAATTTAGTTGGGAAATTCAGTTCAAGATAACTTTATTTTGCATTGACCAGTGACACAATGAATGCTCGGTCATTTAAAATCATGGATGTGGTTGGAAGATTTTTTAAAAAGCAATTTGCACACAGAGAAAAATTGCACCAGTCACCCCCATGATATCAAATGTTTGACCCCCTAACCTACTACAGGCAATATAACTATATATATATTTTATTCAAATCTTTGCCAGACTGAAATGATTCATGTCTTACATATGTCTAAAAGTATGAAATTACAAACACAGATGGGAACTATTATAGACTACATACTGTGACCTAATCACCTAGACACTGAGATAGTAAATTTGCTTGAAATTGTGTTTCAGACAGATGGTTACTATGTTGTCCTGTGTTAAAGATTAAATTTAAAGAATTCCATGCGAGCACAGATTCACTTAACTTAACAGTAGACAATAATAGTCTGATTCAGACTTCACTTTTATCTAAATCTGAAAAGTCAGCTTTCAGAATCTAAAAAGATACATGTTCATGTCTTTTCAATTGCATTTAAGTTTTACCAGCCCAATTGTAAATTTACCCGTCTTGGGGCATACATGCAGTATTTTCAAACACTGATCAATTGACCTCTACATCTTCTATGATTTGTACATGCAAAAAATACAACAAATTTAAATATTGTTTATTTTTTTTAAAAATTCAAAACATCTTGTCTCATGACTGCCCTCTAGAGGTGAATGAGACTTGTTGATATTGATTGAAAACTACATCACACAATACTGATTTGATATAAAATTCATGTAATATATTTCAAATGATTACAGATGCTAGTACATATTTCTAATAATAAATAAAAGTTGATTCTCACTTATTAATTTTGGTGACTATAAATTTGTGTTCATAGTAGAGCTTTTTATGAAATAATAAATTGAACATTGCTACAAAAAATAAACAAAACCATACACACATGTACATGCATGATATAACCATTTTATCAACACTTCAGATTTAAAGGTTACTCGTAAATTTTGATAAAGTTTGTCATAAACCGCATGACAAGGTTCAGAGTACAAATGCTGAAATATATATACTTACCAACATCAGTAATAGAACACAGTGAACCTCGTGAAAATTTTAATTCATGTTTTACAGAATTGTTCATGATTTCATAGGAAAGCAGTAAACTGCCATCTTTTATTATTATTGTGTTTCCCTACTTCCAGTCAACCAGAAATTTCACGAGTTCAGCTTGATACTTTTCTATAGATTGCCTTAAAAATAGTCAATAGCTTTTAGCCAATCAGTCACTTCGTAACATAACCCAAGTCAACACACTGACTATACAATACAGCTTTTAGCCAATCAGTCACTTCGTAACATAACCCAAGTCAACACACTGACTATACAATACAGCTTTCATACAACCTGTCAATATTTTCCCTCAATGAATTTACTACATGGTCATTGTCATGCATTTATCACATTCCCAAAGCTGAGCCAGTCTATTTGATCCCCAGAAAGCAATGTGAGTACGATAAATGGGTGGATATTGTAATAAAAGTGATTAAATGCTACAGGTTGGGTAATAGCCATACTATAAATGCTCTTCATATTTATTACAATTTTTTTCAATATATTACAACAAATTATCAATTTGGGGTAAACAAGTATATTTTTATAATTTGTTCAAAGATTTTGTCATCATTTCATTCAATCTGTTCAGCATTGTTCTTGGATCTTCCATCAATCCTGCGGCCATCATGGAATTGTCATATACCTGCAATATATCAATTAAATTCAAATTAATTTACAGTAACAAAAGTGTTCGTTTCACAAATTTATTTAGTTTTATTTATCCAGTATTTATCGGATTGAAGATACATATTACCCACTCACTATCATTTCATATCAATTGGATCAGAGCCCATTTACTGATTGTAAATAAGGGACAACATAACGTAAGTATTTCCTTGTATTGAGAGAAATACCTCAGTTATCAGGTGGAAACCACTACTCTTTACACCTACATGTATAGAAACACTGGATGTTTTACATGCATTGAGGATAGGAATCGTAAACATGAACAGTTTTATGCCACAAGCTAAGCAAGTTGATAGAATATACTCTTTTCTTCCGCTGCTTAGTGTGTATCTGACCACAGTCTCCCTGATGATGGGTGGACACACTATGGCAGGTATGGCACAAACGACTCTTGTTTTGATTACAACAGATGGCTTAATAGACTTGCTTATGCCAACACATGGTCACCACCCACTCTGAACCAATGTATATTGACATTGTATGCTACTGACCCTGATAGAATTGTGTAGATTTCTATTATATCACAATCATCAGTCTTTTAAAATCTATATTGTTTTAATTTGTAGTGACAGACAGAAAGCCCATATCTTGGCACCGTACTGTAAAATACTTTATTTTAGCTGGAATTAATTTTCGCAAAAACAACATTTTGGGGTATTTTGTATGGAATTTATTTTCACTGATTTTTGACAAGTTGAATGTAAAATATAGGAAAAGAGCTATATTCACTGGATTTTATTTTCACTGAATCATTCCTTCAGCGAAAATAGCAAAAGTTAATTCCAAGCAAAAATACAGTATATTTAAAAATGAAAATAAGGCATAGATTGTTCCACTGAGACAATATTTTTGCCAATGAGTATTCAAATGTCTGTCATCCACTGTTCAACACAAGCTTGTGACAACATTGCCCATAAGTTGTTTTATTAACAGAGACACACACATGTATATTTAATAACAGCAGCAACAAACAATGCTCCTCCTCGATGTGACATTGGCGAGTGACATCATTAATTTGCTCTGTAACATCAAAAAGCTGCTAAAGGGCACCATAAAGCTGCTAAGAGACACTATTAAGTTGCTAAGTAACAACATCAATTAAGTTGCTAAATAACAACATCAATTAAGTTGCTAAGTGACACCATTAAGTTGCTAAGTGACACCATTAAGTTGCTAAGTGACACCATTCAGTTGCTGAGTGACACCATTAAGTTGCTAAGTAACAACATTAAGTTGCTAAGTAACAACATTAAGTTGCTAAGTAACAACATTAAGTTGCTAAGTAACAACATTAAGTTGCTAAGTGACAACATCAAGTTGCTAAGTGACAACATCAAGTTGCTAAGTGACAACATCAAGTTGCTAAGTGACAACATCAAGTTGCTAAGTGACAACATCAATTAAGTTGTTAAGTGACAACATTAAGCTGCTAATTGACAACATCAAGTTTCTAAGTAACAACATCAATTAAGTTGTTAAGTGACAACATTAAGCTAATTGACAACATTAAGTTGCCAAGTGACACCATTAAGTTGCTAAGAGACAACATCAATTAAGTTGCTAAGTGACACAATTAAGTTGCTAAGTAACAACATCAATTAAGTTGCTAAGTGACAACATTAAGCTGCTAATTGACAACATCAAGTTTCTAAGTAACAACATCAATTAAGTTGTTAAGTGACAACATTAAGCTGATTGACAACATTAAGTTGCCAAGTGACACCATTAAGTTGCTAAGAGACAACATCAATTAAGTTGCTAAGTGACACAATTAAGTTGCTAAGTAACAACATCAATTAAGATGCTAAGTGACAACATTAAGCTGCTAAGTGAAAACTTTAAGTTGCATTAAAGCCTGGTGAATTTACCCAGTTGCCCAATGACATCATTTATCATTAGGTTGCTAAGTGACATCACTCCTCTGCTGAGAGACATGAAAAATTGCTGTGACATTACTAATTTGCTCCATGAACTCATTCACTTGCTATGACAAATTAATTGCTAAGTAACATTGTTAACTGACTTAATGACAATAGCTTACCCAGTGACATTGCTAATTTATTCAATGACACTCACTTACCCAGTGACATTGCTAATTAATTCAATGACATCACTCACTTACCCAGTGACATTACTAATTACTCAATGACATCACTCACTTACCCAGTGACATTGCTAATTTATTCAATGACACTCACTTACCCAGTGACATTGCTAATTAATTCAATGACATCACTCACTTACCCAGTGACATTGCTAATTACTCAATGACATCACTCACTTATTCAGTGACATTGCTAACTTATTCAATGACACCACTCACTTACCCAGTGACATTGCTAACTTATTCAGTGACATGACTCACTTGCCCAGTGACATCATAACTTATTCAATGACATCACTCACTTGCTCAGTGACACTACTAACTTATTCAATGACATGACTCACTTGCCCAGTGACATCACTAACTTACCCAATTACATCACTCCCTTGCCCAGTGACATCACTAACTTACTCAATGACATCACTCCATTGCCCAGTGACATCATAACTTACTCAATGACATCACTCCCTTGCCCTGTGCCATAATAACTTACTCAATGACATCACTCACTTTCCTAGTGACATAACTTATTCAATGACATCACTCACTTGCCCAGTCACATCACTAACTCACCTGCTCGGCAACAAGTCTAGCCAATGGGGGATCACTGGTTTTTAATTCATATAATTTCTTCATTATTGGATGACTGCAATGAATACACAAATATTGTCAAGAAGTTGAATTCATTGCTCAATATAAATGACTGTCTAACTGACACAGTGAATATAATAAACAGAATCTCCTAAATATTCACAACTGTAAAGATTTATGTGATTCACTTATTATGAATACATTCACAGGGATCTCGCCACGTTGGTCAGCAGTGGCCGGCTCCGACCGGCACTAAAAATTAGCGACCACCACGGAAATGCTTCCGACCAGGACTATTGTCCGATTGTTATTATAATTATGTACCGACCGACACGCATCCTGTCAGTCGTGGATTATAATTTGTAAACAATAGACCTAGTCGCACGATACGTAGTGGCTAGTCAATTTTGTGAAATTAGCACCTCTTTGTAAGTAAATACTTTCTGCGATAGACAGATTGAAAGCTAAAATTCTTTCAAAATCAATTTCACCCCATATAACAAGATCAAAACGGAGTTCACAATCTGACAGTTTACGCTACTCTAGAAAAAAATCAATGTATTTATTGCGTGATTTGGTAAAATACACTTGAACTGTTATCGCGATTCATGTAAAAACTCTTTTTTCAAGACCTATTTTACCTTTTAAAAATTGCTAATCACCTCTTTCGATAACCATCGTGCAGTTTTCAACTGAAATCGATGTCAACACATCGTGCTACGACATCGCTTTACTTCCGCAATGTAATTTTTATGATCACTACCATTCGAAAAACTTTGGATTCTACCGGCATTACCATGCGGCATTCTGATTGGTTAATGGATTATTGACCCATCGGGTGAAAGGACACATGCCTGTCCACTAATATATCACAAACATCATGGCTGGCTGTGTTTTTTACCGAAGCAATCGAGTGATCAAAAATATCCACTCCCAATAAAACTAAGTCAAATTTTACTTTTATTTCTTTATAATTTTTTGCTTGGCATCATGACTGAGTAAGAGGAATTATTGGTATAATCAGTGTATAAGGTCGCGAAGTAAGTTATGTCACGTCGCAACTTTGAAAGTTCGGAAGTTTTATCCGTTCGTTCATTACTGTGAATTATTAGGGTTGTACAAACCTGTTTGTTTACTTAATCATACCTATCAGAAAGTCTGTGGAAATAATAAATTCCATTTATTACTCGTAGGCTTAACTACAGATTACAGCCCCAATCGGAAACTATTAGGGAATAAAGAACACCTTAGGGTAGCATTCCCTATAGGAAAAAAGGCCTCTCCTAAGGGGCCATCCCGCGCGCACGCGCGGTTACCACGCAAACGAGACGTGATCCGATATTCCCACAAAACGTTTCCGCTGCCACAACGGGCCGCCAGAAGCTTGTGGGGAGATGGGCGGGTTCCAAGGACTTTCTGGTAGGTATGATTAAGTAAACAAACTGGTTTGTACAATCCTAATAGTTTATTACATCACCTACCAGAAAGTCCGTGGAACAAGACATGAAATGTCACAGTCCCCGTTATTTGATTATAAAGTACAGGTAGTACAAGGAACATCTGCAAACAGGTGAATAAATATGTACTTTTTGTGGGTACAACTCATCATAAAGTGATTTCCCATAATCTAGTTTTGTACTGACAACTAAAAACTTCCACTGACCCATGTTCAGAATCTCAGAGTACACAAGTGCAACAAAACTATTTGTCATACATGTATACTTGCTCAAGAAACTACATTCATAAATCTGAGTGAACCTTGATGTACATG